CTCCGACTCTGTACATATTATTCGCCATCTTGAGCCAGGTTACACTACACAGACACTCGGCTAATGTTTTCACACCACTCTCTCCCAGTCGGCTGGACTTTTCATTACAAATTTCCCGAAAAACAATCAACGTGTTCGCTCCCTCTGACAATTCGCCATTTTCTCACTTTCCGTAGACGCGTTCCAACAATATACGATATCGGCGAGTTTTCATTATTTTCTCATTCCGCGGCTCTATAACAGCTGTGAGGTTTAATTCGGAGATGTTTATTTATATTTTTGTTTTCCTTGGGGATTTTCCTGTGGACGAAATTCTAATTAAAACAAGTGAAACAAGAAGGGTAATAATATTTTACGAGAACGTCGCTGTAGCTGTTGGAGTTCGAGGTATTCAGACCATAAATTTCGTGACGTCACACATGTATGCCAGACAAAGCCACTCGCACTTATTTTCCCTTTTTAAGCCCGAATATATATCGTTTAGCTCATCGATGCTCGTCTAGAACCTTCATCAATGTATGATGCTGCTCTAGAGAGCGTGATAAAGGCGCCGGCCTAAGCCATAGACTGTCTAGGAATCAAATCATATCTTGATTCATGTCACGACCGGGATTGAAGTTATTGGAGACTTTGAAACCTAATTTATATATTGAAAGCGCATGCAATCCCGCTACGGTTCTACAAGCGGCAAAATGACAAAGCCAGCTAGTGTGGCACACGAGGCGACGCGCGAATTAAAAACCAGCCAATATTCATTTCCGCCTGTTGTTTAGCGCGTCAAATGTTCGCGGGAGACTGCGAGCTTCCACAAATTCAGATTACATTTAATTCCATTAATTTTCTACCACTTTCGGGCGATAGTTGGAGGCGTCGGTTCATTCCCATGGCGAAGGTCTTTGATTTTGCGAGAGGTGTGTGAGCGTGATTTTGAGACAGACACCGGCTACGATTATCAATTCCCAAATATTTCAAAAAAAGAATTCAAGTAGATGAGCGTCACACAGAAATCCCGGAACATTTACAACTGAAGGAGACGGGAATGACATCCCCCCTCCTGCCCCCTTTTGAACATGAGGTCTCTTCACACGCCCTATGACCGTCTCATCATGCATGTTCAAAAATCATGACATATCCGCCGCTCAAACAGAACAAATGACCTTCCATGGATAACCCGCGCGCTTGTGTCTGTATCATGTGTGTTCTCAGGCCGGGGAGGGAGGGAGGGGCCGTCTGAAGGAAGGAGGAGGAGGAGGAGGAGGAGGAGGATCGGCCTGAGCTGAGCATCTTCTCGTATGCTCGTAGCCCTGCTTCCCTACCGCCGCCGCTACCAAAACTCCCTCGTTCACCGCCGTTCGCCGTCGCTCACCGCCACGCCAACCTCTGCTCGGCCGAACATCGTAACGCCGCTTTGCCGTCGCATGGGGGACGACCGAGGGCTTCCGTAGAGGGTGTGGGATGAGCCCGGGATCCGCGGATGAGGTGGATATGAGTGGATAAGCGCATTGGCAAGAGTATCCCGAGCGACACCGGGTTGATCGGGAAGCACCAATTGTTACGAAACAGGTTTATTCCCAATGAAAGAAAGAGAGGGTGACCCCGCGGCGTGGTCCAGGCATTGAGACGGACAGTTGGGGGAGGGGGAGGGAGGAATCGTTGCTGCTAATTCATACAGCACTTTTGATTACCAGTTATTGATTGCATTATCGATGTGGCTTCCGAGTGGGTGTCAGGTGGTGGGCGCAGTGTGGGTGGGCGTGAGGGCGGGGGTTACGGCGAGTGGGCGGGCGGGAGATCCGTGCATGGCAGTGTGCGGCACCCGATACACGACACAACTTTGCGCTCATTACCCACATAAACCGATGCCGGCCGTCCCACCCCGACACGAACTTCACAAGATCCCCCTCGTCTCCATTTTTTCAACGCCTTGTTCGCCTCTTCTCCTGATACCAACCTCCTCACTGTCATACCTGGAACACCGCCCGTGACACCACCTCTCCGCCCACCAACAAGATAGGGAAGGGTAGGATGCGCGTATTTAAAAAATGGAGTAAATGTGAGGGCTGTGGGCCGATGTAGGTGGCGAGCAGGGGAAGATGGCCGGATCGTGCCGGGCTGCGTTTGTATGTTGCCATTCACGACGTACACATAGGTCGTCCCACACGCTGTCACACGCGCATACACACCCATAACGTGTATACGGCGTGTATTTCCATGTATAGACATCTTGGCAAAAAGTAATTTAATAAACTGATAATTATGCAATTCCCTGAGTGATTGCAGGTTTTACCGGAGACATGTTGCAAACTCACTCCAGAAACGATACCCTCTCTTAAAAGCATTCGTCGCGTAATTCATGTACATTTTATTCATTTTTATATTTTTACTAAGTACTTCCTAAATGGTGTTTATTAGCTCATAAACACATCGATTGTACAATAGATCTCCACTTAAGTACATCCGCTTTCACATACGCTCACATGGATCGCATAATTTTCGTATGCCTATGGGAACTTAAGAACATAAACGGCCATTTGTTTAAGCAGCTTTTTACACATTAGTACGTGTATAACCGATTACGTATATGGTCATTTCATAGATTTACCAATTTATGACAAACAGAATGTTCATTTCTGCACGCCCACGCCCTCATTGTAATCACTAAGATGAAAGAACGTGTAAATTTAAGATGTATTTAGAGAACGACACACGTAAATGTGACGTACGAAATTAAATCTAAATATTAGAAATTACACATGCAGCCACGGATACTTGTGAAACCACACACACGCGCGCACATGCACATACCAGTTATTGCATATGTATATATGTATGTATATCTATCTATATATCTCTATATATATATATATATATATATATATATATATATATATATATACATACATACATACATACATACATACATACATACATACATACATACATACATAGGCCTATATACAAATAAATATATATATAATACATACATAAAACGCCATATATATATATATATATATATATATATATATATATATATATATATATATATATATATATATATATATATATATATATATATATATATATATATATATATATATATATATATATTGAGTATAAATTGTATCCGGTGTAGGGTAGATGGGACTCTTTAACCTTGGCTGGAAACCCTTCTAGAGACTTATGTGTCAAATAAAAATACTTTCTCTCCCTTCTATTTATGGCAGACATCTCAGGAAATGGTCCCCAATCCCGTGGAAAGACGGGCATGTTAAGGGAATTAGCAGAAAATAGAGGTCCGTGGAGAAAATGATGCCAAAAAGAACCTGTCGTAGGACAGAGCACGAGAAGAATATAAGTATGTCTGTAAATATGGGTATGCATGCATGTATATATGTGTGTGTGTGTGTGTGTGTGTGTGTGTAGACAAAGTTGGAAAAGATTGGGAGAGGCCTACGTCCTGTTCTGGATTGACTCAGGCTGATGATGATGATGATGATATATGTATATATATACATATATATATATATATATATATATATATATATATATATATATATATGTATACATATATATATTTATTTATTTATTTATTTTAGATATGTATGGGGGATATGTATTTATGTATACACACACTACACGTATGTGTAGCCTATATATATATATATATATATATATATATATATATATATATATATATATATATATATATATGCACACACACACACACACACACACACACACACACACACACACATATATATATATATATATATATATATATATATATATATATATATATATGTATGTATATATATACATATATATACACACCCACACATATCTATCTAAAAATGTGTATCTATATGTACGTGTGTATGTGTGTGTTTGTGTGTGTGTGTGTGTGCGCGCGCGTGTACGTGCGTGGGGGGATATGTATTTATGTATACACACATTACGTGTGTGTGTAGCCTATACACACACATATGCACACACACACACACACCACACACACACACACCACACACACACACACCACACACACACACACACACACCACACACACACACACACATATATATATATATATATATGCACACACACACACACATATATATATATATATTGAGTATAAATTGTATCCGGTGTAGGGTAGATGGGACTCTTTAACCTTGGCTGGAAACCCTTCTAGAGACTTATGTGTCAAATAAAAATACTTTCTCTCCCTTCTATTTATGGCAGACATCTCAGGAAATGGTCCCCAGTCCCGTGGAAAGACGGGCATGTTAAGGGAATTAGCAGAAAATAGAGGTCCGTGGAGAAAATGATGCCAAAAAGAACCTGTCGTAGGACAGAGCACGAGAAGAATATAAGTATGTGTGTAAATATGGGTATGCATGCATGTATATATGTGTGTGTGTGTGTGCGCGCGCGTGTACGTGCGTGGGGGGATATGTATTTATGTATACACACACTACACGTATTATCCGTCCATCTACCTATGTGTATCTATGTGCACGTGTGTGTGTGTATGTGTATATGTACGTGCGTGCGTGTGTTCAATCCATACATGGAAAGCCGTTAACTCAAATTCCACTTACGTACTAGACACGCTACAAACATGTACGCATAAACAAACGGCAAACACAAAGGAGCATGCAAATGACTAAATAACAAACCTCTCGTGTACACACAATTCGCCTACACGCACGCACACATGAGTACATCGGCACGCACACATGAAATACCTCCATACGAGCTCTAGATACCAACACACGCGGATATGAAATACCTATGCACGCTCTCTGACCTCTCTTACACACACGCACAAGGCCGAACTCTTGCGCTCTTCACGCACACAAGCACGCTCTCTTTGCTCTCATTACATACACGCGAACCTTTGTTCTACATACATATGTACACGCGCACACGATAGGTGCACATCATGACCGTTCAAGGGATACTGACTCCGATAGGGTAGAGTGGAGGAAGGAGGGGGGGAGCTACTCCTCTCCTCTCCACCCTTCCTCCTCTTGCTCCTCCTTCTCCTTTTTCTTCTTCATCATCTTCTTCTTCATCATCTTCTTCTGATCCTTCTTCTCTTGTTCTTCTTGTTCATGTCATTGTTCCTCCTCCTCCTCCTCTTCCTCCTCCTTTTCCTCCTCCTCCTCCTCCCCTCTACCCCATACACC